CCCCCCAACCTCCCCCTCCCCCCCCCCCCCACTCTTACCTGTCAACAATCACTTCTTCCCCTCCGTGGTTGCCGGTGTCATATCCACACTCTGTACGGGATTGCAGCCCTGCGGTATGTACTTCAATTTTGCTTGCAAATGGGGAGCAAAATTGGTCAGAAGCGCATCTCATTGCTCAGCACAGTCAGGTGACCACGCTGACCAATGGGTGCTCACCATTTGCGAGAGAAATTTGAAAATACATGCTGCAATCCTGAGTACATGGATATGGAGTATGGATATTACACGGAGGGGAAGAAGAAGCGATCATTAACACATAAGAGTAGCGGGGAGGGCAGGGGCAGAGGGAGTAGATTGGTGGGGGTAATTCTCTTTTTCCAAATTTGCCTGGGACAGTGGAATTTCCCTTTAAGGGATGCTGTCTGCATGCAATATGCATGAAGAAAGCTGGACATAAATTGGTAGAATTTAATACAATCATTTATACAAAAAAATCTTGTCAGAGCATTGGATAATGCCATCAGAGACCTGACGAATGCCATTCAAAATGTTGTTTGGTTTTAACATTCGATTTAACATTCGATTTTAGAATTATATAGAAAAAAAATCCATCCTGCTCCTTCGATTTTTTTCATCACTGTGGTCGAAAACGATTCTCAATTAGAAAATTGAAAAAGCTTTTTCCAATAAATGTCTACTGATATGGGCAGCTACAGTTTCTCTGTATATGTGTATTATTTTTCCTGGAATCTGGTAATCTACTTTATCTCTATTGTGCCAAACAATCTTAGTGTAGCTTCAAGGACTATCCAAAGGGTTCCCATTCACTGACACAGAGAGGCAGACCCAAAACAGAAAATTGATTCTGGTAATCAAGCTCATATTATATGAACATGTAAAATGGAACCTCATCCAAAACTTTTTTTTATTTTGGGAAGGTTTAGGCAGGTGACAGTGGTCACCGCGATGGAAAGTAAAGGAAATTTACCCTAAAGGTTGCACAGGCCATAAAAACCCCCCCCAAAGCTTTAAGTTTTCACCATTCATTTTAAAATGTAAAAAAAAAGAAAAAGGTTTTACCTGGATTTCCACTTGAAAATCTTGTTGCCAAGGATGAGCTCCCATTCTGTGCGCAACCAAATCATCATCAGATGTCTATACCTCTGATCAGAAATCATTTGAGTCTATTCAGCTCAAACTTTCAACATGAACTATAACTTGCAATCAGATGAAACATGTACTTGCGTAATTGTGAAAAACTGTTTTGTTCTTTATATATAATTTAAAGAAGTTTTTCTCTGTGTCCTATGTGCACACTTATCAAGGAACAAGATGTGTTAATATAACAGAGTTTTCCCCCAGGAATTTCGTGCCCTAGGTGTGACCTCTCCTGAATTACCTGTCTGATTAGACCGAGAACTTTCCTCTCCTTGTCTGATGCGGATTGGTAGGGATTGACCTGCTTAGACCCCGCTGAATAGATATTGTGTAAGAACGCTGGAGCTGCTAAACTTCTTTATATTCTGTTCTACTCTTGGAAAGCTCTCAGCCTATTTTATAAAAGCTGACAGGACACCAAATTTCTCCTCTGTATTAGACTAGTTCATCAAAGTGCAGTGATAGAGATATTGAGCAGAACCACTCTCAGCCCAATATGGAGAGGATTATACCAATCATAACTGCTGACACCTTAAGCACTCTCAGGATTATAAGAATCAGGCAACATTTCTCAGTCATGGACAGCTGCAGAGGCCAGCAGACAACACAAGCTGACACACTGGGAAATATTGGTCTTATATTTTGGAAATCTCACTACTGTTTAGTGGCTTTCCTTCCTGACTTCAAAGCGTCAATGTTCAGACTTGGACAGCCTGAGCTTGCATGCTTATGTGACAGATGATAGTGAAGATCGGCAGGGTGTCAAATTCTGCCTGCATATCCAACTGCACTCCAATTCATTTGTCTGGTCTTACATGCAAAGTGGAGTAACTAAAAATGCTAAATTGTAATTTGTATAACCTTTCATGGGTTTAGACCATCACTTGCAGGAAGCCCATAGCCTTTGACCATCTCCTGTTACATGTCTACAGTCTTTGACCATCTCTTCTAGCAAGCCCACAGTCTTTGATTATCTTCTGTTGCATGTCTGCAGTCTCTGATCATCTCTTGTAGCAAGTCCATAGTCTTTGAGGACCTGTTGTAGCAAGTCCATAATCCTTGACCACCTGTTGTAGCAAGTCCATAGTCTTTGACTACCTGTTGTAGCAAGTCCATAGTCTTTGACCACCTGTTGTAGCAAGTCCATAGTCTTTGACCATTTCTTGTAGCAGGTCAGTAATCTTTGACCATCTTCTGTTGCATGTCTGCAGTCTCTGACCATCTCCTGTAGCCTGACCTCTCAGCCCAATATGAGAGGATTATACCACTTATAACAGCTGACACCTTAAGCTCTCTACCGTGTTTCCCCAAAAATAAGACACTGTCTTATATTTGTTTTTGCCCCAAAAAAACACACTAGGTCTTATTTTCAGGGCATATATTTTTTTTTTAATGTGCAACAAAATGTACAACAATCCAAAGTTATGTTCAAAGTTAGTAACCGGCGCTATAGAGGAAGTATGGGCTAATGCGACTCCGCAGCCTTGCTTTCTACAGCACCGGCCTTCTTTGCCATCAGGGACAGCGGTACCAGCGGTACAGCAGAGGGGACATCAGACAGTGGACAGCACGGTAAAGTACGGTACCATTTACCGGTACACATTACAGTACCGTACCATTACATTAAACAGTGCCTTCAGGGGGACAGCAGTTGGTGAAGTATGGTACTGGAGTGCTCCCTGTCACTGTACTGGCCAGAGGGAGTCCCCTGTCATCCCCTTAATACAGTATGTCCCTGCAGGCTGATACCATCTCTCCTGCTCTTTAAGTTCCCCCTCACATGCTACCACCAAACTAGGTCTTATTTTCGGGGTAGGTCTTATATTACAGGAATCTTGAAAAATAGTGCTAGGTCTTACTTTCGGGGTAGGTCTTATTTTCAGGGAAACAGGGTATTTCAGGTTCAGGTAAGTATCAGGCAACAGTTCTCATATTCATGAATAGTGGCAGAGGTGGACAGACAATATGAACTGACACAACTCGGTGGGAAATATTTATTTTATATTTTGGAATGCTCACTACTGTTTCGTCTTATTAAAGAAGCTCCAGTAGAGTCTACAAACAGCATTCCTTCCAGCCTTCATAGGATGAACTTTCAGACTTGGCCAAGCTAAGAGTACATGCTTATGTGATAGCTGATAGGGAAGATCGGTGGTGGTATCCTTCGGCTGGTCTTACATGCAAAGTGGAGTAACTCAAAATGTTAAATTGTAATGTGTGATTGGAGTACTTTTTTTAACCCTTTGCTCCATTTCCTGACAGATTGTTGCACAGAAGAGGAATACCAAAGGACTGTTCCTGAAATATGGAAAATACGCAGGAAAATCCACCATTACGGTAAGCATTTGGCAGAGTCAATTCAGTAAGACACATGAGCTGTTTTAACTGTGTTTGGTTTTTCACCTCACTATATTTTTTAATCCTCAATTCACAAACCTGAATATTGCACGGATGTAGGATAGGAAATATATGCTTGCAATAGCTATTGAGAGCCTTTCTCATGAAATGGTATTTTACTTACTTAAATTTACTAGGGTGGTGTCTTATCAGTGCCATGGCAAAGTGTGTCATATCTAAAGTGGCCATGGCAAAATCAGCATTGTTTAATCTTATTTGTGCATGTGAAACAGAACCAGGTTATAATCACGATTAAGGTATTTAATGGTAGTTTGATGGCCAGTAATTAAAACCACTACCATAATGGTAATTAAGATATAGTAATAATTTATTACAGACATTTATACAGCACCATCAGTTTACGCAGTGCTTTACATATTGTACATTCACATCAGTGACTGCATTCAAGGAGCTTACAATCTAAAGTTCCTTCCTATCTCTCATACACACGATAGGGTCAATTTACCTTCCAGCATGTCTTAGGAGTATGGAAGTAAACCCACAAAAGCACAATGCAAACTCCATGCAGATGGTGTCCTGGCTGGGGTTTGAACTGAAAACACTAGGGCTACAAGTTAGATGTGCAAACCACTGAGCCACCTTGAAGGGGGGGGGCAGGGTGGTGTGGTGCTGGCGGTGCATGCTAATGGTGGGGGGAGTGGGGTGGAACATCACTGCACAAAAACAATAGTAAGAGAGCGGAGCCGCTGTCCTCCTGTCAGTTTCAGGATGACAGCGGCTGTGTGCGTGGCCGAGCGGGGGATTGGTAAGTATCATTGACATTTACCGATCCTCCGTGAATAGCACAAACACTGGAGTGATCATCTGATCACTTCAGTGTTTGTAAATAACTGGGGACACATAGTGCTATGTGTCCCCAGTTATGAATGAACAGGAGGTGATTCACATCACCTCCTGTTCATTCATGAATTTCTCAATGGAGAGAAGCACTCAGTACAGAGGCTTTTCCCCATTGAGAATCTGCTTGATAGTAAATATCTTACTATCCGCAGTCTGTGAATGAATGGGAAGCCTCTTTACTGAGTGCTTCCCATTCACTGAGTGCTGAGGCTGCAGAAAAATCCATTGAGGACTCTGTGTCCTCAGTGTTTTTTTCTATTTCAAAAGGGAAATGTCAGGGAGCTGTTTAGATCCCTGATATTTCCCCAAAGCCCCCCCAACAGTAAAATAATAATGAAAAAATAAATAAAAAATGTGTAAATAATTAAAAAAAAGCACAACCCCCCAACCAAATCATCATCAGATGTCTATACCTCTGATCAGAAATCATTTGAGTCTATTCAGCTCAAACTTTCAACATGAACTATAACTTGCAATCAGATGAAACATGTACTTGCGTAATTGTGAAAAACTGTTTTGTTCTTTATATATAATTTAAAGAAGTTTTTCTCTGTGTCCTATGTGCACACTTATCAAGGAACAAGATGTGTTAATATAACAGAGTTTTCCCCCAGGAATTTCGTGCCCTAGGTGTGACCTCTCCTGAATTACCTGTCTGATTAGACCGAGAACTTTCCTCTCCTTGTCTGATGCGGATTGGTAGGGATTGACCTGCTTAGACCCCGCTGAATAGATATTGTGTAAGAACGCTGGAGCTGCTAAACTTCTTTATATTCTGTTCTACTCTTGGAAAGCTCTCAGCCTATTTTATAAAAGCTGACAGGACACCAAATTTCTCCTCTGTATTAGACTAGTTCATCAAAGTGCAGTGATAGAGATATTGAGCAGAACCACTCTCAGCCCAATATGGAGAGGATTATACCAATCATAACTGCTGACACCTTAAGCACTCTCAGGATTATAAGAATCAGGCAACATTTCTCAGTCATGGACAGCTGCAGAGGCCAGCAGACAACACAAGCTGACACACTGGGAAATATTGGTCTTATATTTTGGAAATCTCACTACTGTTTAGTGGCTTTCCTTCCTGACTTCAAAGCGTCAATGTTCAGACTTGGACAGCCTGAGCTTGCATGCTTATGTGACAGATGATAGTGAAGATCGGCAGGGTGTCAAATTCTGCCTGCATATCCAACTGCACTCCAATTCATTTGTCTGGTCTTACATGCAAAGTGGAGTAACTAAAAATGCTAAATTGTAATTTGTATAACCTTTCATGGGTTTAGACCATCACTTGCAGGAAGCCCATAGCCTTTGACCATCTCCTGTTACATGTCTACAGTCTTTGACCATCTCTTCTAGCAAGCCCACAGTCTTTGATTATCTTCTGTTGCATGTCTGCAGTCTCTGATCATCTCTTGTAGCAAGTCCATAGTCTTTGAGGACCTGTTGTAGCAAGTCCATAATCCTTGACCACCTGTTGTAGCAAGTCCATAGTCTTTGACTACCTGTTGTAGCAAGTCCATAGTCTTTGACCACCTGTTGTAGCAAGTCCATAGTCTTTGACCATTTCTTGTAGCAGGTCAGTAATCTTTGACCATCTTCTGTTGCATGTCTGCAGTCTCTGACCATCTCCTGTAGCCTGACCTCTCAGCCCAATATGAGAGGATTATACCACTTATAACAGCTGACACCTTAAGCTCTCTACCGTGTTTCCCCAAAAATAAGACACTGTCTTATATTTGTTTTTGCCCCAAAAAAACACACTAGGTCTTATTTTCAGGGCATATATTTTTTTTTTAATGTGCAACAAAATGTACAACAATCCAAAGTTATGTTCAAAGTTAGTAACCGGCGCTATAGAGGAAGTATGGGCTAATGCGACTCCGCAGCCTTGCTTTCTACAGCACCGGCCTTCTTTGCCATCAGGGACAGCGGTACCAGCGGTACAGCAGAGGGGACATCAGACAGTGGACAGCACGGTAAAGTACGGTACCATTTACCGGTACACATTACAGTACCGTACCATTACATTAAACAGTGCCTTCAGGGGGACAGCAGTTGGTGAAGTATGGTACTGGAGTGCTCCCTGTCACTGTACTGGCCAGAGGGAGTCCCCTGTCATCCCCTTAATACAGTATGTCCCTGCAGGCTGATACCATCTCTCCTGCTCTTTAAGTTCCCCCTCACATGCTACCACCAAACTAGGTCTTATTTTCGGGGTAGGTCTTATATTACAGGAATCTTGAAAAATAGTGCTAGGTCTTACTTTCGGGGTAGGTCTTATTTTCAGGGAAACAGGGTATTTCAGGTTCAGGTAAGTATCAGGCAACAGTTCTCATATTCATGAATAGTGGCAGAGGTGGACAGACAATATGAACTGACACAACTCGGTGGGAAATATTTATTTTATATTTTGGAATGCTCACTACTGTTTCGTCTTATTAAAGAAGCTCCAGTAGAGTCTACAAACAGCATTCCTTCCAGCCTTCATAGGATGAACTTTCAGACTTGGCCAAGCTAAGAGTACATGCTTATGTGATAGCTGATAGGGAAGATCGGTGGTGGTATCCTTCGGCTGGTCTTACATGCAAAGTGGAGTAACTCAAAATGTTAAATTGTAATGTGTGATTGGAGTACTTTTTTTAACCCTTTGCTCCATTTCCTGACAGATTGTTGCACAGAAGAGGAATACCAAAGGACTGTTCCTGAAATATGGAAAATACGCAGGAAAATCCACCATTACGGTAAGCATTTGGCAGAGTCAATTCAGTAAGACACATGAGCTGTTTTAACTGTGTTTGGTTTTTCACCTCACTATATTTTTTAATCCTCAATTCACAAACCTGAATATTGCACGGATGTAGGATAGGAAATATATGCTTGCAATAGCTATTGAGAGCCTTTCTCATGAAATGGTATTTTACTTACTTAAATTTACTAGGGTGGTGTCTTATCAGTGCCATGGCAAAGTGTGTCATATCTAAAGTGGCCATGGCAAAATCAGCATTGTTTAATCTTATTTGTGCATGTGAAACAGAACCAGGTTATAATCACGATTAAGGTATTTAATGGTAGTTTGATGGCCAGTAATTAAAACCACTACCATAATGGTAATTAAGATATAGTAATAATTTATTACAGACATTTATACAGCACCATCAGTTTACGCAGTGCTTTACATATTGTACATTCACATCAGTGACTGCATTCAAGGAGCTTACAATCTAAAGTTCCTTCCTATCTCTCATACACACGATAGGGTCAATTTACCTTCCAGCATGTCTTAGGAGTATGGAAGTAAACCCACAAAAGCACAATGCAAACTCCATGCAGATGGTGTCCTGGCTGGGGTTTGAACTGAAAACACTAGGGCTACAAGTTAGATGTGCAAACCACTGAGCCACCTTGAAGGGGGGGGGCAGGGTGGTGTGGTGCTGGCGGTGCATGCTAATGGTGGGGGGAGTGGGGTGGAACATCACTGCACAAAAACAATAGTAAGAGAGCGGAGCCGCTGTCCTCCTGTCAGTTTCAGGATGACAGCGGCTGTGTGCGTGGCCGAGCGGGGGATTGGTAAGTATCATTGACATTTACCGATCCTCCGTGAATAGCACAAACACTGGAGTGATCATCTGATCACTTCAGTGTTTGTAAATAACTGGGGACACATAGTGCTATGTGTCCCCAGTTATGAATGAACAGGAGGTGATTCACATCACCTCCTGTTCATTCATGAATTTCTCAATGGAGAGAAGCACTCAGTACAGAGGCTTTTCCCCATTGAGAATCTGCTTGATAGTAAATATCTTACTATCCGCAGTCTGTGAATGAATGGGAAGCCTCTTTACTGAGTGCTTCCCATTCACTGAGTGCTGAGGCTGCAGAAAAATCCATTGAGGACTCTGTGTCCTCAGTGTTTTTTTCTATTTCAAAAGGGAAATGTCAGGGAGCTGTTTAGATCCCTGATATTTCCCCAAAGCCCCCCCAACAGTAAAATAATAATGAAAAAATAAATAAAAAATGTGTAAATAATTAAAAAAAAGCACAACCCCCCCCCCCCCCCCC